CCATCCCTCTCTGCCTCATTTCTCCTGCACCATCTGCTGGCACCCCGGGCCCTCGCCTGCTCCCACAGGCTCTGCTTGGCTGGGCAGCCCCATGGGGGAGGCACAGGCCCTCCAGCGGCCTCCCCACCACTGTGCCCTGAGCTGGGGCACTGCCTGGGCATTGCTGGGGTGGGGAGAGAGGCCAACAGCCTGGAAACCCAGGGCTGGGGGCAATGGAGGGAGAGAAACAGAACGACAGGCACCAGCGAGAGGATGAGGAAAAGGGGAAGAGGAAAGGCTGGCTAGAAGAGGCTGATCAGAGAACCGGAGGGAGCAAGAGAAGTAAGCAGAGGAGCAGAGGGAAGAAAAGGGAAAGACAGCCGAAACCGGTTTGGCTCAGCGGTAGAGCGTCGGTCTGCGGACTGAAAGGTCCCAGGTTCGATTCCGGTCAAGGGCATGTACATTGGTTGCGGTCACATCCCTGGTGGGGGGTGTGCAGGAGGCAGCTGGTCAATGTTTCTCTCTCATCGATGTTTCTAGCTCTCTATCTCTCTCCCTTCCTCTCTGTAAGAAAATCAATAAAATATAAAATTAAAAAAAAAGTTTAAAAAAGAAAAGGGAAAGACAACCAGCAAGCCAGAGAGCAAGCCAGAGACAGACAAACTGAGGGTGGGCTTGGAGAAAAGGAAAAAGGAGGATTCAGACCAAACAGATGGGGGGGGGGGCGGGTGGCAGGGAGAGATGGACAGCAGAGAGGATGGAGGGACGGGGTGGGGGGTGGGGTGGGAGTGGCACATGGCTGCTTCTCTGCCTGCAGGTTCCAGAAGCCCTGAGCATGGAATCAGGGAGGGCTCTGTGGCTGCCCCTGTGGCCCTGCTGTCCCCTCCTGATGACAGAGGACCCAGGAGGGCGGAGATGGGCAGGGGGGCAATCAAAACCCAGGCATCTCCCCTCCTGCCGGACACAGGCCCGCCCTGGGCCCTGTTCTGCCCTGTGTTCCCACAGCGACTGACGGAGGGCTGTGGGCTCGGAGCCCAGCGTCAGGCTCATCCCCACAGCTCCTGCCCTGGCCATCTTCCCTCGGCCCCACCTTTCAGGCTCTCTCCATCCACCCTCCCATCTTCATCTCTCTCTGTCTCCGTCTCTCAGCTTGTATCTCTTCTGTCTCTCTCCCTCTCTCAGACCCTGTTCTCTCTCCCCTGATTCCTTTCTCTTTCTGTTTCGATTTCTTTTCTTTATTCTTATTTTTTAATCCTCAACCTGAGGATATTTTTTCTGTTGCGTTTTAGAGAAAGTAGAAGGGGGAGGGAGAGAAAGAGAGAGAGAGAGAGAGAGAGAGAGAGAGAGAGAGAGAGAGAGAGAGAGAATAGAGAGACACATCGATTGGCTACCTCCCACATGCACCTGGACCAGGATGGGATTAAACCTGCAACCCAGGTACATGCCCTTGACTGGGAATCAAACCCAAGACCCTTCCGCCCTCAGGCTGATGCTCTAACCACTGAGCAAACGGGCCAGGGCTCCATTTCTTTTCTCTCTTGGTCTTTCTCTTTCTCATGGTCTCTCTCATCGCTGCTTCTTCCTGTCGCTGTTCTTTCCTGAGCTTTGGTTTCTTTTCCTAGTTCTCTCACCACTTCAGTTTCTCTCCACTGCGTCCCCTCCCTCTGGTTTCTCCCTCCAGTCCAGCCTCCCCCCCACCTTCCCAGCCCTAGGAGAGAGACACCCCCCCACCCAAGCCCTCGGGGAGCCAAGGAGAGGTTCCTTTCCAACCCCAGCCTCTCTCGAGGTGCTGGGCCATCTCAGACCCCTTTCCCTCCCCATCCTGTGGCCGGGAGCCTTTCCCAGGACCCGGAGGGCGCCAGGAATGTGGGGCAGAGAGCAGGGAGGCCAGCTGGAGGCCAGGAAGTCAGGACCCCCCCTCCCCACCGCTCGCCCCTCCCCCAAACGTGCCTCTTTCTCCTTCCGGCCTCCGGTGCTGGACCTCACGCCACCCCTCATTCCCTGCCCTGATTGGAGCCTCTGGGCCTCAGTTTCTCCTCTGCAAAATGGGCAAACTTGCCTCTGACCCACTTACCTCATAGGTCCCAGGGGAGCGTGTACTCTGAATGCTAATAGCACGATTAATGTGCATGCATTGGTAATTAGCATTAAAGGGGAATGAGCGTGCGGAGAGCTGGGACTCCGCTTCTAAGGCTCCAACCCAGGCACGTGCCCTTGGCTGAGAATGGAGCTTATGACCCTTGGGTGCCTGGGCGGAGGCTCTAACCACTGAGCACACCAGCCAGGGCATTAGGATTGTTCATATTTATTTATTTATTTATTTATTTATTTTTTAAAATATATTTTATTGATATTTCACGGAGAGGAGGAAGGGAGAGAGATAGAGAGCTAGAAACGTCGATGAGAGAGAAACATCGACCAGCTGCCTCTTGCACACCCCCCACCGGGGATGTGCCCGCAACCAAGGTACATGCCCTTGACCGGAATCAAACCTGGGACCTTGCAGTCCGCAGACTGACGCTCTACCACTGAGCCAGACCGGCTTCGGCAGGATTGTTCATGTTTAAGGAAGAGACTGAAAGTGGAGATTTTTCAGATGTGAGGGTCAGTGGTGATTGTGAGCATGAGACCGTGGGAGGCTGTGGGCTCACGTGTGATTGCGGGGTGATGGTGTGTGACCCTGTACTTGTGAGTGTGGGTGAGGCTGTGAAGGAGAGAACTGAGTATCCGTACAACCTTGGCCCTGGCTGTGACCGTGAGGGTGAGGGTGTGTGCCCCGGGCGGTTGGGAATGTGTGTTGTTGGGGTGCGGCTGTGGACCCTGCCGGGGATTGTGTGAAGTGTGAAATGATGTGAGAGTGTGAATGGGTCTGGCTGTGTAACACTGTGAGAGACACAGACCTGGGCATCTATTTTATTTTATTTAAAGTTTAAAAAATATATATTTTATTCATTTTTTACAGAGAGGAAGGGTGAGGGATAGAGAGTTAGAAACATTGATGAGAGAGAAACACGGATCAGCTGCCTCCTGCACACCCCCTACTGGGGATGTGCTTGCAACCAAGGTACATGCCCTTGACCGGAATCGAACCCTGGACCCTTCAGTCCACGGGCCGACGCTTTACCCACTGAGCCAAACTGGTTTCGGCTATTTTACTTTTTTTAATATGTTTTTATTGATTTTAGAGAGAGAGAAAGGGAGAGGAAGAGAGGGATAGAAACGTCAATGATGAGAGAGAACCATGGGTCAGTGCCCTTACTGGGGATCGAGCCTGCAACATGGGCATGTGCCCCGACCAGGAATCGAACCTGTGGCCTCCTGGTTCATAGGTCGACGCTCAGCCACTGAGGGACACTGGCCAGGCTGTGCATTTATTTAACCAACAATCATTCTTTGAGCCTCTGTGCTCTGTGCCCAAACCTGTGCTGAGTGATGCTGGGGGCCCAGAGCCGCCTGGCCCCGCCTGCATGGGGGCACACAGGCCTGGGGAAGACAGATGGTGTTTGTGACGTGACCTGGTGAGCGTGTGAGTGTGTGCGTGACAGTGTCCCTGGGACTGTGGGGAGTGGCGGCTGTGTCCCTGTGAGTGCAGGCGTCCGCGCCCGAGGACGTGTGCCCGTGTGTCCTGTGGGTGCGGACCAGGCTCTGGGTGTGACTGAAGGAGGCACAGCTGAATGAGCAGGAGGCACACGCTCAGTGAGTGAGGAGCAGCATGTGGCACTGTGTGCTGAGCCCGTGTCTCCCTTAATGGGACCGTGTGCGACACTGCGTGTGACTGCGTGGCTGCCGGAGTCTGTGGGCGACGAGAGGCTGCACGGGGTGTGTGTGTGTGTGTGTGTGTGTGTGTGTGTGTGTGTGTGTGTGACTGCTGCCCCATGTGACCTGGAGTGACTGTGATGCTCACAGGCCAGAGCCCCTGCTCCCCGGGAGCCCCCCCTTCCTGTTCCCTGGCCCCGCCCCTCGCACCACGCAGGCTGTCACCTCCTCCAGAGCTCGGAGGCAGTGGAGGCAGCAGAGGCAGCAGCAGGACAGGTGAGGGCTCCCCTGCCCCGCTGGCCCCTCAGGTCTGTGCGTCCCTCTCTCCGTGTCTCTGAGCCTTTATCTCTCCGTGTCTCTGAGCCTTTGTCTCTGTCTCTGTGGCCACAGTCTGAGCCTTTGTCTCTCTGTCTTTGTGGCCACAGTCTCTAACCTCCTCTCTTATCTTATCTTCGTCGCCACGTCTCCCAGTCTCTGTCTTACCTCTCCATGGCTCTGTACCCCTCTCTCCTCTACCACCTAGCCCACACTCTGTCTCTGGTCTCTTGCTGCACCTCGCCTCTCCTCTCCTCTCTCTCTCTCCTTATGCACCTCTGGCCCGTGTCTGTGGGGTGGTCTCAGGTCCTCCCTGCCTCTCCTTTCCCTCCATGGTGCTGGAGCGGGTGCTCAGAGTGAGGGACAGGTTTCCAGGCAGGTGGCCAGCCCCTCAGACCTGAGCCCGGGCTCTGACGCCTCTCTAGTCCCTAAGAGGAGCAGGTCCCACGGATTCCGGGCTTCGTTCTCCCGGGATAAGTTCTTCAAGGTCCGGTTGTTTATCCCCAGTTTGGGTTTGAACGCCCTTCGGGCTCAGAGAGTGGGAACCCCGAGGGCCGCCTGCAGCTCCGCTCCCGGGCGGCCGGTCCCCAGGTTCCCTCCGGCCTCCACGTCTAGACTCCGGGCGACACGAGCACTTCCGCCCGGCGAGCCCCGGGCGACCACGCCCTCCGCAAACACCGCCCCCAGCACCCCCCCCCCCCCCCCGCCGCGCTCCCGCAGCCGCCGCGGTGGACCCCAGCCTCGGCCCTTCGCACGCATCTCCCCCACCGACCGTCACCCTGGGGCGGGGGCACGGGGGGCGCTGCCTCGGGGTCCGCGTGCATCATCCCGGGGATCCGGGCGGCGGCGGCGAGCCTGGGGCTGGGGGCGGACGGCGGCGGCTCCTGACCCTGCTGCCCTCGGACCCCCCAGGCCGGCTGCCCCCGCCCCCGGGCCCCGCCGCCCTCGCCATGCCGCCCCGTGCGCCCCGGAGGCCGCTGCTGCTGCTGCTGCTGCTCGGGCTGCGGGCGCCGCTGCTGCCGCGGGCGGAGGTGAGGACCGGAGCCGCGGGGGGAGGCTCGGAGGGGCGGAGGGGGTCCGGGGCGGTGAAGGCGCAGACCCCAGTGCTGATGGTCGCTTCCAGTCCGCCTTCTTCCCCTCGCACATCCTCCTGCTGGTGTCCAGCCACCACGTCCCCCAACGTTCCCGGAGTGTCCAGTCCCCCCAGCAACTCCCCCGGAGGTTTCTAGGCTCCCCTCCAGATTTAGGAGAGGTTCCCCGGGCCCCCCCCCCCAAGACTCCTGGGCACACAGGACAGCCCCCCCCCCAGGCCCCCTGAGGGTCCCCGGCCCGCATCACCAGGCTGCGGGGGGCGGGCGCGGCGGGCGTCCTCCCGTCTCTCTCCGCGCAGACGGGCTCGGAGCGGCAGACGGCGCGGGAGCTGTACCGGCGCTGGGAGCGCTACCGCAGGGAGTGCCAGGGGGCGCTGCAGGCCGCCGAGCCCCCGGAGGGTGAGACCCCCAGGCTGAGCCCCCCAGGAGCGGGGGGGGGGGGGGCTGCGACGACTGTACGGGCTGCGGTTGAGCGGGGAGGGTGGGCTGGGACCGGGCGCTGGGCCTGGGAGAGTTGTCCGGGGTAGATGGGGGCTTGGCCTGGGTGGGAAGGACCTGGAATCCAGAGGTCGGAGTGGGATGCGACTGGGATTCCTGGGAGAAGTCTGGGATGAATGGGCGGGACCTGAAATGCATAGAAGGGGACGGGGCTTGGGTGGAGCCTAGAAAGAGCCTGGAGCAGCGGGAACCTCGTGCGTGCGGCTGAAGCTTGCTTGGTGGGGAGCCCGGAGTGGGGTCGGAGGATGGGGGGCCTCGGGGTCTGATGGGCGGAGCTGCGGGCAGCAGCGTTGGACCCTCCAGGTGGGTGGGCCCAGGGCAGGGCTGTGGATGTGAGGAGGAGGGGGGCTTCGGGCCGAGGGTGCAGTAGGTCCCCCTGTGCCACTCCAGGCCTCGCCTGCAACGGGTCCTTCGATATGTACGTCTGCTGGGACTATGCTGCACCCAACACCACTGCCCGTGCTTCCTGCCCCTGGTATCTGCCCTGGCACCGCCACGGTGAGGTGCCCCCTGGATGTGGGCCTTTCTGGACACAAACAGCTCCTAACCCTTGCCCCAGATGCCCCTTCCCCCAAACTCACCTACACCCCATCTCCTGCTCCTCTTTGTCCAGCGGGATGTCTCCTCTGTCTGTCCAACCCTGGAGGGGTCGCCCCGATCCTGGCTCTGTCACATCAGGCTCCTTCTCTGTCTGTATCTCTCTTAGGACTATGCGGTTCTTCTTTTCTCTCCTTTATCTGAGTCTGTCTCTGGGCATTCTGGTCTTCCGGTCCTAGCTAGCTGTGTGGTCCAGGACAGTTTATTTAATTTCTTTATACTTCAGTCCCTTCATCTGTAGAATGGGATTGATGATAGCACCAGCTTCAGAGCTGTCTTCTGAATATTACATTAATGTGTGAAATTCCAGAGAAGGGCTCAGCATCATCATTATCATCACATCGGCTCTCTCTCTGCCTTTCCTCCCAGCTGGTCTCTGTCTCCATCTCTCTCTCTGTGCCTCTAATCCCCTCCCTCAACCCCCCCCCCCCCCCCAGTGGCTGCAGGCTTTGTCCTCCGCCGGTGCGGCAGTGATGGCCAATGGGGACCTTGGAGAGACCATTCTCAGTGTGAGAACCCAGAGAAGAATGGGACCTTTCAGGTAAGAAGAGGCGCGGGATTCAGGTTGGATGTCCAGAGAGAGGCAAAGGCAGCAGCCTGCCAAAACCGGTGTGGCTCAGTGGATGGAGCGTCAGCCTGCGCACTGAAGGGTCCCAGGTTTGATTCCGGTCAAGGGCATGTACCTTGGTTGTGGGAACATCCCCAGTGGTGGGTGTACAGGAGGCAGCTGATCGATGTTTCTCTGTCATTGATGTTTCTGGCTCTCTATCCCTCTCCCTTCCTCTCTGTAAAAAAAAAAAAAAAAAAAAAAAAAAATTAAAAAAAATATATATATATTAAAGAAAAGGCAGCAGCCTCAGACTGAGCCTGAAATCCCTTGTACTGTACTGTTCAGGGCTCTGGGTTCCAAGTGATAGAAATCCCAAGTAAACGTGCTTGATGCAGAAAAAAACAACAACAAAAAAACAACTCTACTTCTGTGATTGAAACGTATACAGCCACATACAGCTTCAGGCACAGCTGGATCTAGATGTTCAAATAATGTTGGGGATCTCTCTTGCTCGCCATCGTGTGCCTGTGTTTTTATCTGTCCCGGTCTCATCTTCATCTTTTTATTTGAAAATGTTTTTTTTATTGATTTCAGAAAGGAAGGAAGAGGGAGAGAGAGATAGAGATAGAAACATATGATGAGAGAGAACCATTGGTTGGCTGCCTTCAACATGCCCCCTACTGGGGATCGAGCCTACAACCCGGGCATGTGACCTTGCCTGGAATTGAACCCAGGACCCTTCAGTCCGCAGGCCAATGCTCTATCCACTGAGCCAAACCAGCTAGGACTGAAATTTTTATTTTTCAATTACATTGCCATTCAATACTATTTTACACTGGTGGCCCGATGCACGAAATCACGCAAGGGGCTCAGTCCTCGCAGCCCCAAACTTTCAGGATTGACTCTTATGGCCTTGGTTTGGGTCCTCTGCCCACCCTGGACTAATCACTGTGTATGTGTGTAGGGGAGGGGAGGAAGGGGGTTAGGAGGGGATTAGAATGCTCTGATTGGCTGGCCACAGGTCCAACCTGGAGCAAAAAGGTGGAGATGGCCCCACTGAAATAGGGGAAGTTGGATCCCCAAGAGAACGTTGGGGTGCTTGGCAGGAACAGGAGCAGAAAGAGGTCTGTCCAGCCCCCCACTGACCCTGGGGGAGAGCTGAGCCCTGTTCCGGTGTCCTGCCCTGTCCCCCAGAACCAGAAGCTGATCCTGGAGCGGCTGCAGGTGGTGTACACCGTGGGCTACTCCCTGTCCCTGGCCGCGCTGCTGCTCGCCCTGCTCATCTTGGGCTCCTTCAGGTGGGACCCCCACTGTGGGCGGCCGAGGCGGAACCCGGCCTGTCTGCCCGCTGAGATGGGGTGGTCCACTGGGAACGGGCACCCGATGGTGGTTCCGTGAGAAGTGGGGCTGGGAGGCGGCGAAAGGGGCTCCCCGTGGCCGCGGACGCGTCTCCATGGGTCCCCCCTGCCTCCCCAATCCCCAGGCGGCTGCACTGCACTCGCAACTACATTCACATCAACCTGTTCACGTCCTTCATGCTCCGGGCGGCAGCCATCCTCACCCGCGACCGGCTGCTGCCTCCTCCGGACCCCGCGCCCGGGGACCAGGCCCCCATCCTCTGGAACCAGGTGAGCGTAGTCCCTGTTCCTCTCGCCTTGGGATTCAGCCTCCCCTGGTGGGCAGGCGGTTCCCACGCTACCCACTGCCCAGGGCACTGGCGACAGTTTCCTCCCTCTGGACCACGCCAGAGAGGGACTCCCATCGTCCACTCCGTCACCTCCTTTGTTGGCATTTTCCCATTCTCTTTCTTCTATTTCCAACCACTGGCCTGTCCCACCCCTGAGAGAGTCTTCTGCTGGAGGTGAGGAGGAGACAGGAGTGGGGAACAGCTGGGGGGAGGATCCGGTAGATTCCAGGTCTTTACTGAGAAACAAGGTGAGCCAGACCCGAGGCTGGGACCGGAGGGGAGGAAAGCTCCCTGGGAGCACCGTGGGCCATGCCCATTGTCAGGAAGCGCGGGGGTGGGAGGCCTCGCTGGTGGGAGAGGAGTGGGAGGTGGGAGAAGCTTTTCGGAAGGTGGAGTAGCTGAGCACCGTTCTCAGGAGATAGGGTGGGAGGAGCCATCTCTGGGGCATCTTGGGGAGAAGTTTGATAGTGAGATGGGAGATACCAGTTGTTTAAGAGGTTAGAGTAGCTGAAACCGGTTTGGCTCAGTGGATAGAGCGTTGGCGTGCGGACTGAAAGGTCTCAAGGTGATTCCAGTCAAGGGCATGTACCTTGGTTGCAGGCACATCCTCTGTAGGGGGTGTGCAAGAGGCAGCTGATAGATGATTCTCACTGATGTTTCTAATTCTCTATCCCTCTCTCTTCCTCTCTGTAAAAATTCAATAAAGTATGTTTAAAAAAAAAAAAAGGAAATGCCTTTAAAAAACCCAATAAAGTATATTAAAAAAAAAAAAAGAGGTTAGAGTGGGAGAGGTCATATAGGGCAAGAGAAACCAAGCACAGGTACCACCCTTCGGTGACAGAGTGGGAGAGTATTTGATGACAAGAGGAGGGGGTGAAAGGACGATCGGCTGGAGGAAAGCTTGGGGCTGGAGGAAAGCTTGGGGTACCTCCAGCGCCCTGACTGCCCGCCTCCCCCTATCTGGCCACCCTCCAGGCGCTCGGCCCCTGCAGAACGGCCCAGATCGTGACCCAGTACTGCGTGGGCGCCAACTACACGTGGCTGCTGGTGGAGGGCATCTACCTGCACAGCCTCCTGGTGCTCGTGGGGGGCTCCGAGGGGGGCCCCTTCCGCGGTTACCTGCTCTTCGGCTGGGGTGAGCCCCGACCCTGTCCCCGGCCCGCCCTCCCCGCACCACCGCTCCCCGACTGCCCTGCCGGTCTGCTTCAGGGGTCTCTCCCTCTCTCCAGGCTTCTGCCTTCCCATCTCAGCGGGGAGTTCCGCGGGGCTGGGGCCAGGCGAGGCCCGCGCGCGTGCTGACGGCTGCGGCGGGGTGGGGGGCGGGGGTCGGGGTCTGCACAGGGGCCCCCGCGCTTTTCGTCATCCCCTGGGTGATCGTCAGGTACCTGTACGAGAACACGCAGTGAGTTGCGGGAAGGAGGCCTGGGCCGGAGGGGGAGGTTTGGAGGGGGGGAGGCCTGGGTAGGTGGGCGGGGCCTCGAGGCACCTGGGCGGGGCCGTGAGGCGCCTGGGCAGGGCCTGGGGAGGTGGGTGTGGCCCCTGGGCACCTGGGCGGGGAGCCTGGGGGTGGGCGGGGCCTCTAAGCACCTGGGCGGGGCCTGGGGTGGGCGGGGCCTCGAGGCTCCTGGGCGGGTGGGATGGGAACGCGGGGCGGTCCTAATGGCACGTGGGGACCTGGAGGGGACGTGGGTGGGGAGGATAACGGAATAGAACAGCTCGGAAAGGTTGTGCTCGAGGACGATGGGAAGGGGCGGGCCGGGGCAGGAGTGGGCGGGGCTCTGGAGGGATGTGGACGTGGCCTCACGGAAGGCGGGCGGGGTGGGCCCTGCCGAGGGAATGTGCGCGACCCGTGAGTGCTTCTAGCGGTTTTCAGTCCCTTAGCTCCACCACAACCCCTCCCTGCTCCAGGTGCTGGGAGCGGAACGAAGTCAAGGCCATCTGGTGGATCATACGCACCCCGATCCTCATGACCATCTTGGTACGGCCGGCGCCGCCGCCGCCTCCAGGCAGTCCTCGGGGATTTCTCATCCTGGGGAGAAGGGTGCCGCCCTGTTTCCCAGGATGGGCTCGGACTGGCTCGGCCTCTACCCTTTCCCCGCAGATTAATTTCTTCATCTTTCTCCGCATCCTCGGCATCCTCGTGTCCAAGCTGAGGACCCAGCAGATGCGCTGCCCGGACTACCGGCTAAGGTGGGGGAGGGAGAAGGGGAGAGAAGGAAGAGGGCCGGACGTGGGATGGGGACCCTGGCCGCTGACCACAGCTGCCCTCCTCCCAGGCTGGCCCGCTCCACGCTGACGCTGGTGCCTCTGCTGGGCGTCCACGAGGTGGTGTTTGCTCCTGTGACCGAGGAACAAGCCCGCGGCCACCTGCGCTTCGCCAAGCTGGGCTTCGAGATCTTCCTCAGCTCTTTCCAGGTGCTCAGGCGGCGAGCGGGGCTGCACCCTTCCAGCCGGGGCCTCTCCCCGAGAGGCAGCAGGGCTACGGCCGCCCCTTGGCGCAGCCACTGCAGTGGGGGTGCCCGGGCGAGTTCACTCATTCTACACAGAACGTTGAGCTGGCGCTGTTCTCAGCTGAGGAAGAGGCAGGGGCCGAGACAGGAGAGGGGAGGGAGGCCTGAGCGGTGTGGCCTCCTGGTGAAGAAGGTCTAGGGCTTTTTTTTTTTTTTTTTAATTGATTTTTTTACAGAGAGGAAGGGAGAGGGATAGAGAGACAGAAACATCGATGAGAGAGAAACATCGATCAGCTGCCTCCTGCACACACCCCCACAACCAATGTACATGCCCTTGACCGGAATCCAGCATGGGTCCCCCCAGTCCATAGACCAGTGCTCTATCCACTGAGCTAAACCGGTTTTGGTAAGATCAAGGGCTTTGAGGCCAAAATCAGATCTGTCAGAGCCAGGGTGGCAAGACAGGTGCTCACAACGCAAAATATATGAAGGCACTCACTCCAAAATGTAAGGCTGGCCCTGCATGTGCTAGCCCTAAGCCTAGTCCCCACCCTGTTTTACCTGCTTGGGCCTCAGTTTTCTCATATCTAAAGTGGGGACAACACTTGTCTCACCTCACATGCCTGTTCATTTCATTAAACTCAGCGAACATTTATTGCATACACTTTTCCTAGCTCTCTGTGGGGATATTGCCATGAACCAGAATGGTCTCTACATTCTTGTAGGAGAGACAGATGCTATACACACACGGTATATAAGTAAAATATACAGAATGGCAGATGGCAAGATGTGGGTAAAGGGGGGGGGGGGAAAGCAAGAAAATAGAGGTGAAGATTAAACAAAAGGTAGTGTTACAAGCAGGGGGTCAAGGAAGGCCTGCTTGAGAAGAAGATATTGGAGCAAAGACAGAAGAAGGTGAAGGAATGAGCGAGGCGAGTGACACACCTCACATGTAAGATCTGTCGCGATGGAGGAGGGCTGGCCAGCCCGAGCCAGTGGAGCAAGGGGGAGATAAGTAATATTTTACCAATAACGCATACAAATAATGGACTTGTATTAATTTATCAAGAAACTTATTGTTAATTATAAATAGAAATGGTTTTATATTTATTTTAACTTATAATGTGAAACATAAATATAAAACAAATGATTAAAATTAATTTACCAGCCGGGACTGGTTTGGCTCAATGGATAGAGCATCAGCTTGGGGACTGAAGGGCCCCGGGTTCTATTCCGGTCAAGGGCATGTTCCTTGGTTGCGGGCATATCCCAAGTAGGGGGTGTGCAAGAGGCAGCTGATCGATGACTCTCTCTCATTGATGTTTCTAACTCTCTATCTCTCTCCCTTCCTCTCTGTACAAAAATCAATAAAATATATTTTTTTAAAAATTAATTTACCAATAACTTAGAACAATCATTAATTAAAATTAAGCAAATGTTAATAATAAACTTGGTTTATTAATATTTACTAATGGTTATCTAATATTACATAATAATGGTAAGATAAATCATAAGACTAAGTAAAAGGTTTAACACTATGTACCAGACACTACAGCTGCTTGCAAACCAATATCTCAATTCTCATGACCACCATTGCATTACCCCACTTTCCAGATGAAGAAACTGAGGCTCAGAGGGGTTAAGCAGTTTGCCCAAGTGGGATAGAAACTAGGGAAATGCCTAAACCGGTTTGGCTCAGTGGATAGAGCATCAGCCTGCGGACTGAAAGGTCCCAGGTTCGAATGAGGTCAAGGGCATGTTATGTTGGTTGCGGGCACATCCCCAAAAGGGGGCGTGCAGGAGGCAGCTGATCGATGTTTCTAACTATCTCTTTCCCTTCCTCTCTGTAAAGAATCAATAAAATATATTAAGAAAAAAAAGAAAGAAAGAAAGAAAGAAAGAAAAGAAATGAAACTAGGGAAGCGATTATAACATCCAGGGTCCTCTTTATTGCTCAGCAAACTGGGGAGGACAAGCGGGGAGCAGGGAGGTGTTTGCAAAAGTCTAGGACCGGGAGAGTGGCAGCCGAGGTAGTCTGGGGCCTGGCATAAGGCCCTGGCTCTTAGGAAGGTGTTCATAAGCCTGTCCCCAGTCCCTGAAGTAACGCCTTGTTTGACAGGGCTTGCTGGTCAGCTTCCTTTACTGCTTCATCAACAAAGAGGTAAGGAGCCCGGCCTGCCGCCCGCCCGCGCCCTCTGGCGGCAGCACAGCGAACGGCGTGCCTGGCCCCGGCTCTGAGCGCTACCCGTTGCAGGTGCAGTCGGAGATCCGCCGAGGTTGGCACCGCTGCCGCCTGCGCCGCAGCCTGGGAGAGGAGCCGCACCAGCCCTCCCAGCGGCCCTCTCTGAGCCTGCAGTTGGGCTCTGAACCCAGACAGGTCGCCACTGGCCGTGCCCTGTCCTCGGGGAACATCCCAGGGCCTGGGGATGAGGCCAGCCGGGTCTTGGAAAGTTACTGCTAGGCAGCGGGATTCCTGTGATCATTCGGTTAGCATGTATTTGTTGAGCGCCTGCTGTGTACCAGGCCCCTTGTGGAGGGAGGGCGCTGGGGAAATGGGGTGGAAGGAAACAGAGAAAGGCCCCTGACCTAGAGTTCAAAATCGAGTAGGGGAAACAGACCCTTAAGACAACACATCGTTATATATGGGCTGAGTGGAATGGCTGATGAGGAAAAATTAGAAGGGGGTCTACGGTGGCCAGGGAGGGCATCCTCTGTGGAGGTACCATGTAAGCCCTACCTGCCAGAGGTGCAGGAGACAGCTTTGGGAAGAACTGGTGGGCAAGTTTCTAGGCAGAAGGGGCAGAGGCCCTGGGCAGGAAGGACCGTGGCCATATCCTAGGAGCAGACAGATGGCCTGCATGGCTGGAGCTGGGAGGAGTCAGAGCCAAATGGAGAGAGAAGTGAGCAGGGGCAAAGAGTTGGGGTTTTATTCCAGGTGCATTGAAAACTCTTAGCAGAAGCATCTCATGGGCTAATGTGTGTGTTATTTTTTTAAATTAATTTAAGAGAGAAACATCAATTTGTTGTTCCATGTATTTATGCATTCACTGGTGGATTCTTTTATTTAAACAAAGAATGTTTTTATTGCTACTTAAAAGAGAGAGAGGAAAGGAGAGGGAGAAACATCAATTCGGGCAACATCTATTGGTTTATCTGTTGCCTCCTGTACATACCCTGATCTGGGACTGAACCCGCAACCTGGGCATATGCCCTGGCTGGGAATCGAACCAGCGATTCTTCAGTGCACGGGGCCATACTCAGGCAACAGAACTACACAGGCCAGGACTACCTATTGGTCGCTTCTTTTTTTTTTTTTTTTTTTTTTTTTTTGGTTGCTTCTTGTATGTGCCCTGACAGGGGGCCAAACTCGAAACCTTGGTGTATCACAGGAGTAGGGAACATCTGGTTCATGGGCTCCATAAGGTCCACAAAATGATTTGGTCTGGCCGTGCCAAGGCATTGGGAGTGTGTTAATCCAATGTTTGACCAAATATAGCAGGCTAATTTTTAAGTTGATAATTTTGCACGGCCTGTGAACGATGTTACAAATATCCAAATGGCCTTTGGCAGAAAAAAAGTTTCCCCACCCCTGTGATTTGGGACAATGCTCTAATCAACTGAGCTACCTGCCACCCAGCCAGGGCTCCTGGGCTCATGTATTAAACAGAGCCTTCTGTCTGCGCTGTGGGGGGACAGATTACTAGGGATGGGAACTGGGAGCCCAGGGAGACCGCAGGCGGAGGTGAAGGAGGCGGAACCAGGTGGTGGCCACGGAGGAGTGGGAGGCAGTTGGACTCCGGAGCTATTTTGAGGGTAGAACTGAGGATCTGGCAATGAATTAATTGCATGAGAAAGTTCAGCAAGAAGGGAAAGAAGCCCAGGAAGACTCGTGGGTTTGAGGCTGCGGAGAAAGGAAAGTGAGATTGGGTTTAGGTGGGGCGCACCTAGCGAGAGGGCTCTTTGGACACGATAAGCTGGGACAAAGGTCTGGAGCTCAAGGCAGAAGTTAGAGCTGGAGACCAAAGTGTGAGCCCACCGGGGTCCAGAGAGGAGGTGTAGACACAAACACGGGCAATTCAGGGCAGGCCCCGGCTGAAACCTTGCACCCAGCGAAGCCAGGACCACTGCTAGCTGGGGAGTGTGGCTGCATCTCCTCACTCCTGAGTGGCCCCCTGGGCACTGGGAGAACTAGGGAAGCCAACAGCCACACTGTCGCTGGACCACTTTGCACAAACGGAAGCCCTCACTTCTAATCCTTTCCCCACAGACACAGTTAGATTCCATTAGAACCTGGGTGTTGTCAATTCTTTTCCTTGGGTCTCAGCTCCCTGGACAGATAAACACAGAGTCCCTTTAACATGAGGTGGCCTTGCGAGGGTGTGGGGGGGGACAGGGACGGGGACCTTGTGGGTCCTAGGAGGGTAAAGGGGCCCTATAAATCATGGTGGGGAACATCCGGCCCTCGGACCATATAAGGCCCTGTGGTCTGGCCCTGCCAAGGCATTAAGGATGAGTTAATTAAATGTTTGACCAAATATAGCAGGCTAATTTTTAAGTTAATTTTTTTTTTTATGGCCTGAGAATGATGCTATAAATATCCAAATGGCCCTTGGCAGAAAAAATGCTCCACCCCCCTGTAATGTAAATAAAGCATGAGAAACAGTCGTGTTGTGTTTTTTGGTGTCTGTTGAGAATGAGAATCTTTTGGCCAGGCCATAAAGGGGAATGGCTGAGGCGGGGAGCCTGTGGCGGCCACACCCCCCGTGGAGGGTAGCACTGCTCATGTTCAGCCACGTGTTGCCATAACATGAACATCAACATGTACATCGTACTGCCAGTCCCCACCGCCTAAGAGAAGCCCCAATTGGGAATGTTCATGTGATCCTTACTACCCATAATGCAGTGTTATACATGGAAAAACCTTATTTTAAAATCCCACCTCTGTGGTCAGTCTACGCTGAGTGGCCAGATTATTATTCATTCAGAGATCATAATAATCTGACCACTCAGTGTATACAAATTTTTCATTTTAACAAAAACAAAAGCCAGAATAAAGCTGTAGGAAACACATAGCCTGGTTCGAATCTTAATTTGGCTACTTATTAGCTGTATGTCTTGGAGAAAATTCTCAGCTTCTCTATGCCTCACTTTCCAATTCTGGAAAATAGGTATAACAGTACCTTGCCTGAGTTTCCGAGTTATTCTTAGGATGGTGCCCGGTGCCTGGCGGATGCTGAATGCTTGGCCTGTGTGCTTGGGGCTATTCCTGCAGCCTCTGCTGTTGTTTTCACCGCTGAAGGAAGAGGTGAATTAGGAACCATTTGGGAGGAGATAGTGGCTGAAACTCAAACTGATGCCAAGCTGGGTACTGGGCTGGAATCCTGCCCCAGCCTGCAAGGCAGGATAATTAAATCAACCAGAGGGAGGCAGGAGATTCGAACCATTTGAAGATTGGGACTTCAGGCTTTGTGCCCCTTTCTCCTGCAAAAGAACCAAATTCCCCGGGAAGTTCCCTGCAGCAGTACCCCTGCCCCAACTTCGTTACTTTTTTATTTTTATAAGACATGATTTTATTGATTTTAGAGGAAAAGAGCAAGAAAAATGATTGGTTGCCTCCCATACATACCAAAATCGGGATCATGTTCAGGACAATGCTCCAACCAGCTGAACCATACCAGCCCGGCACCACTGACCCCACAGATTAGGGCACTGGGGGTCTGACCTGTTCCCTGACACTATGGTGGCTCATGAGGGCCTGCCTCCCCGAGTTTGAACGTGGCTCCATCGCTTCCCTGAGTGACCTGGGCAAGTCATTACCCACTAAGCCTCAGCTGTCTCATCTGTAAATTGGGATAGCTCCAGTATCTACTTCAGAGGGTTGTTCCAATTATACCACCCAGTAAACATTCAGCTTTATAACCCCACAAGTGTCCGTGTATGTCAGGTCCTCTCTGCTGCAGGATCCCCAGCTCTGCAGCTCACAGGGTAAGCCAGGCTCTGCTTTCCACAGCTCAGTGTCAGACACTGGTCCTGACCTCAGTTCCGCAAACTCCTGCACCACCTGGCATTAGGCCCTATCTGAGAACAGACAGAGATGCAGGCAGAGACAGAACAGAGATCTCACTGGGGGAGAGTGATGTGTGTACATCGGAGGAAAACAGTAAGGCCCTCCTTTCTCTATTTGCTAGAGAATTCCCCTCGATGGTAATTAGTTGTAATTTGGAGGATAGCAGAGCTCAGGGTGAAGTCACAGGCTCAGGAGCAGGGTGGGTTTGATCAGCACCACTTCCTGGCTGGGTGTCCCTGGGCAAGTGACACTTCTCTGTGCCTCAGCCCCTGCTTCTGGGAACTGGAGGTAATGAGTAACTGCCTGCTCAGAGCTGTTGGAAGTCTGAACAGCAGAGCCAAGGGCTGACAGCCTAACAGTGCAGCAGGTGACAGCATGATTGCTTTTTCTTATAAACATTTTTTAAACTTTTTTTTTAGAGAGGGACAGATAAACATTGAGAAAAAAAAATCTGTACTTACTGATTTCAGAGAGAAGGGAGAGGGAGAGAGGAGGAGAAAAGAGAAACAGATCTGATGTTCCACTTACTGGTGCATTCATTGGTTGCTTCTTGTGTGTGACCTAATTATAGATGGGACCCGCAACCTTGGCATACTGAGATGACATTACCAACTGAGTCAGGACCTTGAGTACCAACTGCTTTAAACATGTATCTCCTCCCATCAGCCCCGGGCTGTCTCAGGCACTGCTGTGTCCCCAGGATTGCAACACAAGGCTGGACACAAAGTAAACAGTGGGGGATGTTGATCTAACTGAACAAACAGAAAAAAAAAGACCAGAAGAAATTTCAAGCAAGGCTGACTCATTCAGAGAAAAAAGGAGAGGTGGGGCAATGAGAAGCTAGTAAAGATTAAACAGGAAAGAGCAAAAGCACTCTGTCCAATTCACTTCACAGACAGGGAAACTGAGGCACGGAAGGAGCAGAGACAGAGCCTCTTCATCTGCTCAGAGGTCCTGATCCCAGCGCGTGGCCCCATGCTCAGCCGCCCTCCCCCAAGTCCCTCCCGCTCACCAGGCCCTGGGGACAGACAGATGCCACTAGAAAAAACAAAACAAAACAGGGCTTTATTGTTCTCAGGTCCGGGGCAGGTCAGAGCAGGGCAGGTCAGAGCAGGGCAGGAGTGAGGTGCCGGCAGGGAGGCGCCCCTACTTGCCGGCGATGAGGGGGTTCCGCAGGACCACGATGACCGAGTCGCCGCGCAGGAACATCTTGGAGATGTAGCGGTCCTTGTTGACGGGCTTGGACTTCTTCTTGCCCTTGCCGCTCTTGGGGACCTCGGTCCACATCTCCTTCACATTCTCCAGCACCATGTTGCAGTGCCTGGGGGGACAGGGAGGGGAGGCTCTGGTGAGGGGCGGCCGCCCTCCTGCAGCGGTACTGCCAGTCCTCGGTG